GGCTTTGCTCTACTCCTTCTCCAGCCTCCTCCTCCTCCTTGCTCTGCCTCATTCCCAGGCTGCAAACCAGTCCCCGCCGCCCCCTAGCTCCCTGCCTGCCATCCCCACCCTGCCCCTCCTGCAGGCCCTGCAAACGCGGGCACCGGGCAGCCCGGCGTGGCGAGCAGGGCCAGCCAGCAGGCAGCCCCTGCGCTACATGCTGAACCTGTACCGGCAAGCTGCTGACCGGGAAGGCCGACCCCGCCGCGGCCAGCCTCGGCACCAACACCATCCGCCTGGTCCAGGCCAGTTCCCACGGGGGTCAGCCCTGGGCAGGTAAGGAGCAGGTGGGCAGCAAGGATGGCATGGGGACTTGGCAAAGCTGGCAGGGTGGGCTTGAGCCCTGAGGAGGTCTTTTGCCTGCCTCCTTCCCTCTTTCTACAGTGTCCTGGCTAGGGCTGCCCTTAGTCATGGGGTTTCCCTCGGCAGGGGACCCAGGCTCTCCCTGCTCCAGGGGTGAGAAAGCAAAAAAGCATTGCTGTCCCAGTGTCCCACTCCCCCCTTCCTATCCTGCCTGATGCTGTGCCAGGCCAATGGTGTTTGTCTAGAGGATGAGAAATGTTCCAGGCTCTTTGTTCTTCACCTCTCCAGCAAGCTATGGTTCACAGCTGCTGTTTGCTCCAACTTTTGCCTTGTGCTGGGGCAGCTAGCTGGTTCCCCTGAGCCATGTGGGACTGTGCCACCCTGGAAGAAAGGGGTGCTGGTGTGGTTCCTGCTATGCCATGCTAAGTGGGCACTGACTACTGCTTCCTTGCAGGTCGCTGGTACGTGCAGCCCCTCATCTACCACTTGGAGGCTCAGCCCGAGGCTGAGCACCTCCTCCGAGCCACTGTGGTCTACCTGCCCGTTCTGTCACTGGCCCACGGTCGCCTCCTCTGTGCTCTGGAGCTGGTGGCCACTGGTGAAGTACCTGGGGTGCTGCTCAGCCCTGCCACCCACCCGCGCCGTGGCTGGGCCGAAGTTGACATCACCCCTTACCTGGTGCTGGGGAACAGCAGCGTGGAGAGCCTAGCACTGCGGCATCTCTGTGTGCGTGCTGGCCGAGCAGGGAGCCACGATGCGCCAGTGGCACCTAGCCACCCTTTCGTCCTCCTCTACCTTAATGACACTCAGGCAGGGCTGGCACTTCCAGCAGCAGGACCCCAGCGGCACCGGCGTGACACAGGGACATTGGCTCATGACCTGCCGGACTACCTGCGGGAGCATGGAGGGGAGAAGAGTGACTGTTCCCTGCGCCCCTTCCCTGTCAGCTTTGCACAGCTGGGCTGGGACCACTGGATCATTGCTCCTCATCGCTACAACCCGCGCTACTGCAAGGGTGCCTGTCCCCACCTGCTCCGCTATGACTACCATGCACCCAATCACGCTGTGGTGCAGAGCTTTGTTCATCAGCTGGTGGATGCCAATGTGCCCCGGCCCTCCTGTGTGCCGTACCGTTACAGCCCCATCAGTGTCCTCATGATCGAGCGCAACGGAGGCATTCTCTACAAGGAGTATGATAACATGATCGCGGA